CCCAGTGATTATGTCCATATTCGGTTGAGATCCTGGGATCAGGAATATTAAATAGGAAAAACATTCTCTGCCCTGGAAATGTAAAGGGCAGACATGATCAATCTGTCATCGATAAACACTGCTCCCAGCGCACTGTAAGTACGGTGTGAGGACTGGGGCGTGTTGCTCGGTGGCAGAGCATCTGTGTGGAGGGTCAAGCTCCAGCACCACAAACAGAGCCGGACTGTGAAAAGCACAGAGAGTACCACGGTGAGCTCAAATGATGCAGTCAGCTGTGAAACAAACAGAAAATTTTACTGCCCAACCGTATCAGCACCCTTCACCTAGCAGAACGACAAGTGTGGCTTTGTGAATGGAAGCCATCCTTGCAGTAACACTTAGCCAACTGGCATGTATTTCTTGAAAATTTCTATCCCTTGGTGAGGAGGGAATGAAAACAGGCTCTCCAGTCAGAGTCCAAGATGTGAGGGACGCGGGAGAGGCTGAAGGTTTCTGGGTACCAACAACGCGGAAAAGCAGGCATAAAAGACACAGTGAGGTATCACAGCAGACTGTAAGGGCAGCGGGAGTGGTGATGGTGGGGGTGACGTGGCAGAGACAGAACATTCAGGGTTACAGAGTTAACCAGACACAAAAACATTTCATTTCCAAAACCACTTTTTAAATTTAAGTTTTCCCAACCTGAGATTTCAGTTTGGAGTCCAGCAAACTGCAGGCACTGGATAAATATGTCAGTCAGTTCTTAAGAGAAAGAAAGTAGCGGGATCCACAGCTCCTCACATCCCAGCCAGGGTTTACAGCTGCAGACACACAGCCCTAAGTGACAACAGCCTTAGCTTACACATGGGAAGCCTCACTTCAATCCTCCTATCTATGTCTCTCCCTGTAGTGACAGAAAGGCTAAGAGAACATCTTGGGATTTAGGCTGAGGTCACAAAATCTGATTCACTTCCCTTAACAGGATCTGCTCAGTACACACATATATGGATGTTTACATTTTCGTCACAAATGTGTAGGCACTGTTCTGGTTGCTTTGGAAACGTGGCCCTACTAAGGAAGTAAAGGTTGACAAGTCAAATACTGTCAAAGAAGAACAGACTGCTCCTCACGTACACTAAAAGCTTCTAAGCCAGGCTGTAAGTGTTGGCTCGTTTCACACTACACAGTCCTCCAGTTCGTTATTTATTGTATAGTCAAGTAGCTCAGTTTCCACCTCCCTCACAAACTGTCTGAGGCAGCGCCAAACCTACTGGTAACTGCACACCAGAGGTCAATTTCAGCACCTAGAACTGAACATCGAGAGGCTGGGTGCATGTCTGCTTCAGTCTCCATAACTGCCTTGGTTGGCTATTTAAGAAAATGCTAGGTGTGAACCTGGGGGTGATGGCGGGTCCCCAAAGAGATACTTTCACTAATCTCATCTTGCCATAAAAGTACAAATTTTCAAGTATTTAAATAATTCAGCCTTAAGAGATGTTTTTCTTTGTTTTGAGGGGGTAGGGTGGGAGGGAGCTCAGGACTGAATCACATAAAGCACAAGCTGGCTCGCTGAGCTGTACCTCCAGGCTCCTGGCCTTATACCGTGCTCTAAGATAAACCCTGGGAGGAAGGAATCTTAATACAACCAGACGCTTTGATATTTAAGTTCATCAAAGGCAGAACTAAATGGCCGCCATTAATAGTCTGGCTTAACTGCTTTACTGTGGGCCACGTAAGATTTGATTTAAGAGGTTGCTGTTTTGGATTAAGATCCTACACAGATCAGGCTAAAAATAAAATGCAATCGCTCATGCTTAGTTTCCAAGTCACTAAGCTAGAACAACCCTTTATCTGATCTGCAGAGAAAACAGAATTAGTGATGTGACAGATTTCTCCAACAGGCCTGTTCTGACATGATAATTAAGCTGCTTGGCTTAATCTATGCAAAACACCACCCTCCTCCAGTTAGCCAGTTATTTTTCTATGGTTCTCACTTTCCTTATTTTCAGGTGTAGGTTCTTGGGCTGGCGTGCAGCTAATGGCAGCAATGGTGAAGGATGCACAAAGCCTTGGGTTCTGCAATTGCTAAGAATTCTTCAAATCACAGAGAAGGAAAAAAAAATGTTACAGTAAGCTCTGCAGTCTCAGGGGTGCACTGGGGGTGGGGTGGGAGGGGTGGGGTCGAGCAACCTATCCCTGATGATGAGGGATTGTACCCCAACGTGGTATGTAATCCACCACTTCATGAAAACAACTCTCTATGCCCCCAGTATTCACCTCATCCGACACCTCCTGGTTCAGCCCTAATACCTTCCTGAACTCTTTCCTGTTCTAGATTCCCTCCTACCTCAACAGTTGGTGGTTTTTTAAACTGAATCTTAGAATCTCATCTTCCCAAAGTCTAAATCTGCACTATTTCTATGGTAGCCCATGTTACTAAAGAGCATTTGATATGCTGTAAAAATAAAAGATACTGGACTTTGAAGATATTCTTTAAGACTTAATACATGGGGCTGGAGAGAAGATTTTGTGGTTAAGAGCACTTGTTGCTCTTGCAGAGGACCCAGGTTCAGTTCCCAGCACCCATATGGTGGCTTACAACCTGTTTCTATCTCCAGACCCAATGCCCTCTTCTGATCACCTCAGGCACCAGGCACAGATAGAGGCATCACTCATACACATAAAATAAAAATAACGACTGACTTGGGCTATCTGGGTTAAATACTTCGCCCGTTTCACTTCACTTTAATGTAGTTACTAGAAAATTTAAGACTATGTATGTCGCTTAAACTTTATTTCTACTGGCCAGTGCTGCTCCAAATGCTGCAGGTTTCCTGGGATTTGACCTTGCTCCTCCCTCAGTTTTGCCCTCACAGTAAAAGCACCACCACCTACACAATGACTCACAATATGGAAACAGAAAAAGAGACAGCAGCATTTTCGACAAAGGGAGCACGTGTCCAGAGAGCAGGGCTTTCAAACAGCCAAGGGAAAGATGGACAGAGTTCAAGCCTCAGCAGGAAGGGACAAAAGGCCTGTAGTTTAGGTTACTTTGAGGTACTCAGCTCTACAAACTATTGTGGCTTCTTGCTTCTCCTCTGGAAGCTATGCTAAGGAGTTTAAAAAACCTGCTCCAATTGGCTCTCATTTCTTTCCAAGGAGCACATTCTGTAGCGGCAAGGACTTAATCAAGTTCCTGTATCATTTTATTTTTTACTCTTCTAAGTTTTTTTTCTTTTTCTTTTTTTTTTTTCAGAGCTGAGGACCGAACCCAGGGCCTTGCACTTGCTAGGCAAGCACTCTACCACTGAGCTAAATCCCCAGCCCATATTTTTTACTTTTCAAAGAGGTTTCACTATACAGCCTTGGCAGGCCTGAAACTCACTATGTAGACCAGGCTGGCCTTGAACTCCTAAGAGATTGGCCTGCTTCTATTTCCTGAGAGCTGGGACTAAAGCCTGCCCTACCTTCCTGAATTCTTCTAAACTTTAATCTAGGCAAGTACTGATGGTCTGAGAATAAAGTTTCTCTAATCAAGGCCAATCTAATACACATGTCTCTGATCAAAAACTGTTGGAAATAATGCTAATTACATTAATTTAAAAGACAATAAAATGTAACATCAGTGAGAAAACTTAGCAACAAAGTCTGTCCCACTCATAAGAAATTCAAGTTGAAGCCTTGATTTCATTTATATCAACAAAACAAAATTTTGGAAACGGCATATATACATAACAAGATCCAATGTGTAAATTTAAAACTCATGAAGTTTTAAAACTACAAACCATTCTATAAGCACTCCTTTCAAGACGTTGACCATCTTTTCCCAGGCAGACGGTGCAGATGACCTCAAGAATGCTAAAATAAATAAATTTAATTTAATTTTAAAAGGATAAAGTGACATAAAATCCAAAAATTTCAACCTACTTTGGGGATTTACATTTGAAATAAAATAAAAAATTAAATGTCAGTATTAAAAAGCTAACATTGACATAACAGATATTCCCATTTTTACCAATGCTAAAGCAGATTACTTGGAATATTAATAAAGCACAAATCTTACTTGCAAAAAAATTCTAGCCGGGCGGTGGTGGTGCATGCCTTTAATCCCAGCACTTGGGAGGCAGAGGCAGGCGGATCTCTGTGAGTTCGAGGCTAGACTGGTCTATGGAGAGAGTTCCAGGACAGGCTCCAAAACTACACAGAGAAATCCTGTCTCGACCCCGTCCCCCTAAAACAAAACAAAAACAAATTCTACTCATGGCTAATTGATCCTTAAAAAGTAAGCTCCAAGCCCGTTGCGGGTGGTGCACGCTCTCCCCCCCCCCCCCCCCCCACCATCCAGGACTACATAGAGACCGGGACTCAGAACAACAAAAAAGCTCCATTCCAAATCCAGGAGCCCAACACAAATTATATAGGTTCATTACTCAAATGTTTTCTTTTTATATCCAGGAGAACGATATAAAGGCAAGATTCCGGGGAGGGCAGAAATTACAAAATGGTAGTTCTGAAAAGGGCCTCAAAAATCACAGTGATCCACCACCTTATTTTACCGATGAGACCAAGTACCTCATCAAAGTAGGTAATTTTAATTTACAAACATCCTGATCTCCAGATCAATAAACTGCATCCTCCAAAGATCTGCATCGGAAGGTCCCTGAGTGAGAGCCAACCTAAAGATCCCTTTAGTGTCTACACCCAGGCAGGAAAACCGTGACACAATGCGTGACGGCCCCGCGGCCCCCACATCACAGGCCTCAGGAAGGGTGCGGGACTCCGACCCGCCCACAGGCCCGGGAGGCTCCGTGTCTTTCCTCCTCCTCCTCCCCTCCTTTTTTCCGAGGAGCCCCCACGCAACCTACTTCTTCCAAGCCGCTCAGAGCCTGCAGGGTTCCTCCGCCCACACGCCCAGGAACCGTCGTGGCGTCGCCGACCCACTGCGCCTGCGCCGCGCGTCATCGCGCCCGCGACACTCTAGTGGGTGGGGCGATTCTCTGGGGGCGGGGCCAAGCGCTCGGGGGCGGGATCACGTGCCTACAGCCGCCGGGCCAGGGCGCAGGTCACAAGTGGCGGCGGAGGGTGGGCTGTGCAGTCGGCTGTGTCCACCGGGAGCGGAGTCCAGGCGCTGGCAGGTAGGACGGGCGGGCGGGCGAGCGGGCTTGTGGGCGGGCAAGGGCGTCCCTGCAGCTGAGGGCGGGGAGGACCGTAGCCCTGCACGGACACGGCTCCCCGTGAGGTCGCGCGGCCTCGGAGGGACCCGGTGACCTGCCGCGGCCCTTAGGGCCTGATTCTGGCCCTTTTCTTGAATGAATGATCGCTGCGCTTCTCTGGTTGCTCCTGAGGCTTGGAGGACAGCACCTGCGTGCAGGTGAACCCTCCAGGGCTCTGTAATCTCATGAGCCACACCTGCGTCTTTCAGGCCACATCTTGCACGTCTTTGACCTCGGAGACTGATTAGTTGGAAAGCTGATAGGTTTCTAAACCCAGTAACCGTCATTTTAAGGTGAAGGCCTCCAGAAGGTTCTGAAGTTAATCCCATTCCCAAATTCTGATCTGTAGGCTTTTTATTATTTTTAATAATTAATTAATTTTTAAATTTTATTTGCTTTGGTATTTTGCCTGCATGTATATCTATCTATCTGTGAGGGTGTATGTCTGTGGGAGGGTGTCGGATCCTGGAGTTAGAGACAGTTGTTAGCTGCCATGTGGGTGCTGGGAATTGAACCCGGGTCGTTTTAACACCTAGCCGTCTCTCCAGCCCCTGATCTGTAGTCTTAATGGAGCTGTGTTCTCAGCAGTTGAGGCAGGAGGTTGTTGTAGCTTCTTGGTCGTTATATTCCCACATTTAAACTCATGCTGACTTTTACTTCACACACGTCTCCTCCCTCTAACCAGCCTCGCTCGCTCGCTCGCTCGCTCGCCCGCCCTTCCACTTATTTCCCTCTCTCCGTTCCTCAAATTGGTTTTTAAAATTTTTTATTGAGTTTATTTATGTGTGTAGGTTGAGGTGGCATGCATGTGCCAGAGGGCACAGGTGGAGAGGTCGGAGGACAGTTTGAAGGAGTTGGTTCTCTTCCAGCATGTGGATCCATGAGATGGACCTCAGTTCACCAGGCTTGGCAACCCTGGTCCCTCAAACATTTTCCTGCTGTACCCACTCTTTTAAAATCGCCCCAAGTTTACTCTTCCCAAGTGTCTTTACTTTCTTTCTGCCGCAGTGGTAATTCCCAGAGTTCTTTTAAACAGATAGCAACACAGTGACTCTAAAGTTAGGGAGAAGTGGCAGGAATCTCAAGGAGCTCATCCTCAGAAGGAAGAGCAAGCTGGGCATGATGCCTGAAGCTTAGAATTCTGTCTCCCTGGACGCGGAGGCAGCAGAATCCTGAGTTGGAAGCCAGCCTGGGCTACATAGCAAGGTCCTGTCTCAAAGATATGAAAGGATCAAAGCTGGAGCCTTTATGTGACCTGGCTTCGAGACTTGGTGTTCATAGCCAAGCTTGCACCTTCCTGTGCTGCTTATTGGGATAGAGAAATAGGTCAGCAGGGTGGGATGGAGTCCAGAAACAGGCCCATGTTACATAGAGTTAGTTAACTTTTGAATAAGGCACTGAGCTATTTCGTTGGTGAGAAGAACATTGTTTCAACATTTTATTGGAACTGTTGGATCTCTATATAGAAAACAGTTCACTTATCATCAAAATACATAAAAATTTAACTGGGCAGCAGTTAAGATCACTGGCTGCTCTTACAAACGACCCATTTTTGTTTCCCACCACCCACATGTTGGCTCACAATCATCCATAGTTTCAGTTACAGGGGATCTGATTACTCCCTCTTCTGGCCTCCAAGGTCACTGCACACGTGTGGTACATGTACACACATGTAGGCAAAGCCCTCATACATATAAATTAAATCTTGAGAAAATTAACTTGGAATGGACCATAGACTTAAACATAAAATATATCACAAAACTGTCTTAGAATTGTAAGAAAAGATGACATGATGTAGGCAATGTTTTTTAGGGGGGGTTGTTTTTGTTTTTGTTTTTACAGACGGTTTCTCTGTGTAACAGCTCTGGCTATCCTGGAACTTGCTTTGTAGACCATGTTGGCCTCAAACTCACAGAGACTGCCCTGCCTCTGCTTCTGAGTGCTAGGATTAAAGGTGCGCACCACCACAGGCACACAGTGGTTTTTCAGGATGTAAAATTCAATAACCACAAAAGAGAAGAAATTGATAAGATAGAGTCTATCAAAGATGCTCATCAAAATGTGGTTTTAAGGAAATAGTCAAGTCACAGACTTGGAGAGGATAGTTGCAGTGTGTCTCTACATACATTTGATAGAAGACTTACTTCCAGCATATATAAAGAACTGATAGCCAACTTAAGCAGGCAAAAGACGTGAAGAGATAATTCAACAAAAGAATATATGAATGGCTAACGTGCACTTGAAAAGATGCTCAGCATGGTTTTCTGGAAATTTCATAGTGAATGATAGTGAGATCTGTAGTGTGCCTACCAAGCAAGCATCAGCAAGCATGTTGGACAGCTGGAACCCTTTGCTTTGTTGGGTGCAATATAAAATGTTGCAAATGTGCTCAAAAACATTGAACATTGTTTTCTGACCCAGCAATCTCGATCCTGGGGCATTTATTGAATAAATATGAAAACATGTCTCCAAAAACTTGTTTCACAATGCTCAGAGGAGCTTATGGTAGGCAGAATGCTGCTGCCCCTCCCCCCCCCAAATGCACATGCCACATTGCCCGGAACCTGTGATTATATTTTATGTAGATAGCAAAAGGCATTTCAAAAGCGGAACTAGGTTTACAGACTTTGAATAGATTTTTTAACATAAAAATGATCCTTACTTAGTTTTATACAGGTATATAATAATGTATTTGATCATATTTACTCCTCATCACCCTCTCTTATTCCCTTTAGGTACCAGTTTCCCTGATTAGTGTTAGCAGGCTCCATATTGGCTTTCTCTGTCTCCATTCCCCCTCTTCCCATCTCACTATGCTGACCTGCCTGGCTAGCCTGGAACTCTATGTAGCCCAGGCTGGCCTTGAACTCACAGAGATCCACCTGCCTCTGCCTCCTGAGTGCTGGGATTAAAGGTGTGTGCCACAATGCCTGGCTTAAATCTGTTTTAAAACAACTACAAATTTGGCATACTATTACTTGGCATTGTATAACTGACAGCATCACGTGACAGAGTCAGTTCGGAACCCTGCAGTGGCCCCTCTTCCCTACTCTCAGTAGAACGTGTTGACAAAACCAGTAAGAGGAAACCGGAGAAGCACTCAAAACTAGTTCCCCCAGCCTGGCAATGATGGCACACACCTTTAATTCCAGCACTCAGGAGGCAGAGGCAGGCAAATCTCTCTGAGTTCGAGGCCAGCCTGGTCTACACAGCAAGTTCTAGGACAGCCAAGGCTACACAGAGAAACCCTGTCTCAAAAAACCAATAAAAGTAAAAAATGAATTTCCCCAGTAGACATTTGTAGAGCACTCTGCCTGTTCTTTCCAAGTACATCTGGGACAGTCGTCAAAATAGAACCCGTTCCGTGCTTTAGCATAGACCCAGGCAAGATTGGAAAGGGTTGAATTTATTGAAGCCTGCTCTTAACCACAGTGGAATTAAGCTAGAAATAATACGGACATCCGGAGAAATCCAAACTGTTTGAGAATTAATCCCACTCTTTATGGGTTGGCTGAGCTTTGATGGGATAGTCTTGAAGGACTGTATTCCAGGAAATAGGCTGAAAAATGTCTTCCCATGACACCAAGGAAACAGTGTGAAACTTGGTTTTTACCAGTAGCATAAATAAGTGGACCTTATGTGCATGCAGGGGTGTGACTGTCAATGTCAAGTGACTTTAATCACCCTCCACCTTATTTTAAGAAAATTTGTATCACTATTTTATTTATCATTTGTGTGTGAGGGGTGGGTATGTGTGCTGCAGGACCTGCGTAAAGATTGATGACATGCAGTTCATTCTCTTTCCACTGTGTGCATCCCGGGGATCCACTTGGGCTTGGTGGCAGGCACTTTCTCTTCACTGAAGGATCTCCTTGGTGACATCTTAGTTTTTGAGACAAGGTTTCTCTCCAAACCTGGAGTTGACCAATTTGGCTAGACTTGCTGGCAGCCAGCAAGTCCCAGGAAACCTCCTGTTGCTTCCACAGCACTGGGATCCTAGGCACATGCTGCTGCCCAGGCTTGTAACACACCTCCAAACTCAGGTCCTCATTCTTTCCTTACAAACATTTTACTGGCTGAACCATCTCTAGAGACTTGGAAATTAAAACTCTTGAAGTCCAGCTTTTGAGCCTGACGGTTGTAAGTGTCTGTGATAGTTTGTGGAGATATTTCACACTGCATACAGATCAGAGGACACAGGACTCTCACAGGAAACAGCCCACAGAGATGAGCTCTTAATCAAAGATGATAAACCCTGAGTCAAACATACCACCACAAGGGCTAGGCAGCCCTAACTGCTAGAAATAGAGTTCCAACACAGAGACTTAGATTTGCAAAAAGTGCTCAGGAGGCAGAGGCAGGTGGATCTTGGAGTTGGAGGCTAGCCTGGTCTACATAGTGAGTTCCAGGACATCCAGGGCTATGTAGAGAGACCCTGTCTAAAAAAAAAAAATTATAAAATGTAAAGGAATATTTAGAAATGGTACATTAGCTCCTTGCAACATCACATACCATCCTGAGACCTAATGGCCCAAACTGCCATTTATGACTCAGCCATCAGCAGATCCGTAGGGTCGGTCGGGCTGGTTACACCGGAGTGGCCTCGCTTGCCTGGCGGTTAGTGCTGCCTGTTGGCTGGCATTTGCCGGCTGGCTGCCTTAGTGGGAATTTGCTGCTTCTCTCCACGGCTGCTGGGCCTTCGTTTATCAAGAGCAAACATGCATTATATATGCTTGTGATCTCTAAAGGATGTTTAAAAACATTAAATGTCCATGTTGGGGTTCTGCTTAATAGCTTGATTTTTCCTGATTTCCCATTAATTACGACTCAGAATTGAACACAACTCAAAGAATAATGAAAGTGCCAGCAAACTGTATCCTAGTAAAGTCTGGTTTAATTTCCGGGGTGGAGCCCTTAGTTGAGATGTTTTTTCTTAGTTTTGAGTAATCTAACTGCGGGCAACCCACTGTGATAGTGACATGTCCTTAGGGTCAGAAGAAAGAGTTTGAAGTGTATACCAAATTACTCTTGTTACATTACTTTCCTGCACCGGATGTCTCTTGTGATAGTGATATGTCCTTAGAGTCAGAAAAAAGGTTTTGTTTCTTTGTTTTTTGTTTTTGTTTTTGTTTTGCCAAGACAGGGTTTCTCTCTGTAGTTTTGGTGCCTGTCCTGGATCTTGCTCTGTAGACCAGGCTGGCCTGGAACTCAGATCTGCTTGGCTCTGCTGCCCGGGTGCTGGGATTAAAGGCGTGCGCCACCACCGCCCGGCAGAAAAAAGGGTTTTAAGTGTATACCCAGTCACCCTTGTCACATTTCTGTCCTACACAGGATGCCCCTTGGTGCCTATTGTATCATCTGCTGCAGAAGAATAGGAACCTCTGCTCCCCGTTTAAAACGTCACACGTCCTGGAGAAATATCCGTGAGTACGGTTCAAGGAACACCATTTTCTAGTAGACATATTGATGGGATTGTGGCCACTCTCCTGGAGTTCATTACAACACTAACGGCCCATTCTGAATCTCACTTGCCTATGTCCTCTGTACTGATGGTTCACACTACATTTGTGAGCCCAGAGCCACACAAGATCCTTCTTCTCAGGAACTCTTAGCCCCCCTTGTTTGTCCTGTCAATTCCTGCTCACTTTTCCAAACTTAAGTGCCATGCGTTCTCATTCAGCACATGCATACTAAGCCCTTGCAGAGCCAGGTACCTCGACTAGGTTCTGGGGGTACAGTGCTGAGCAAGGAGGACCTTCTCCTTGCCCTATGGAGGCGTGGGGTCTTCTCTGTCTGCCCCACATTGATGCCTGGCACCTTAGGCCAGGGTGGAGCCACCGTTTGCCGTTTAGTAGAATCAGTGTGGAACTCGTTTAATTGTCTGGCTTCTCCCATGGACTAAGCTCGGAGAGCAGTGTCTTCATTATTCTGTCCCATTGCTTATTGTCACCTATGTCATGCAGGAGGTGTTCCCACAGTGTTTGTTGAATAGAAGGATGACATAACATGCCTCCCCTGAGCCCTGATTCTTTTATTTGTATAACAAGTGCAGAATGTTGGAGTACACTGTGAAGATGTGTCTTTGCCATGGCACCTTCTGATTGGTTTAATAATGAGTTGAATGGCCAGTAGCTAGGCAGGAGAGGATAGGCGGCATTTCTGGGGAGAAGGAGGAAGAGGAAAAGGAATCTAGGTGTGCAGGAGATGCCGGGGAGACCCTGAAGAGGTTGGACATATGGTACAGAGTAGAGGTAACCAAACCTCGTGGCAGAACATAGATTTAAAAAGCAGGTTAATTTAAGTTATAAGAGCTAGTGGGATAAGCCTAAGCTAATGGCCAAGCTTTCATAATTAAGTCTCCATGTCATTATTTGGGGGCTGGTGATCCAAAGATAGTCTGACAACAAAGCCAGCTACAAACAAGGCTGGCCTTGCTCATCCTTCATTTATTGACAACATGTATTGACTCTGTACCAGGTGCTGTTTTTAGCTCTGAAGTTACAGTGTTGAGTAAGATGAAGTCCCTGTCCTCAAGCCATTTCCTTTGAAGCTTTAAGATAGACCATTGGAGTTGGGTATGGTGGTGGAGTATGCCTTTAATGCAAGCGTTCAGGAGAGAAAGGCCAGCCCCAAACACAGAGAGCAGGCTAGCTGGGATTACGTAGTTAGACCCCGTCTCTCCAAACAGAACTAAACAAAAATATGTTGGGCTGGCAAGGTGACTCAGCGGATAAGAACGGTTCCCGTGCAAGTGTGAAGACCTGAATTCAAATTCCCAGAACCCATCTAAGTAAAAAGCTGAGTGTAATACATGCACCTGTACCTCCAACACTGAGGAGTGTGGGGCAGAGATAAGGTCACTGGGGATTTCTGGCTGCCAGCCTAGCTCCCAGGTCTGTGAGAGGTCCTGTCTCAATGGAATAAAGTAAAGAACATAGAGAATGATAGATGTCCTCCAGTGGCCTCCGTCACCATGCATGGGCATGTGCACCTGTACATGAGAGAAGGCATGCATTCGCACACGCGTGCGTGCACGCACACACACACACACACACACACACACACACACACACACACACACACGTGTTTACAGTAGATGTTTTCGGAATTCTAGGGAATTCCGATCCTGAATTTTCCATATAAAGATAAGCAGGAGCAGCAAAGCACGCCCTCTGCTTTCCTTCTCTCAGCGTTCGCAGTGTAGCAACCTTGAGAACATTGCGTTTACCTCTAGTGAGGGAGAAAAGGAGGGACGGTAGGAAGAGTGCAAGGAAACATTCCAGGAGGTGTCGCAGGAATCTTAAAGGGTCTTATTAATAAGATCAAACCTGGAGCCAGATATTGGGGTGAAGCTGGAAGATCAAAGAAGCAGAACAAGCCACAGCTACCTCACCTGGCCAGTTCCTCAGCTGATCCTGTTTCCTCAGACTGGAAGCCTCTGTGTCCTCATCCCAATGGCTCTCAGCTGAACTGTGCTGCTAGAAGCCTGAAAGCTTAACCAGCCAAATGCTTCTAGTTTCTGGTCTCCATGCCTTATATACCTTTCTGTTTTTGCCATCACTCCCTGGGATTAAAGGCTCACTTCTTGGGATTAAAGGCGTGTGTCATCATGCCTGGCTGTTTCCAATGTGGCCTTGAACTCACAGAGATCCAGAGATATTTCTGCCTCTGGAATGCTAGGATTAAAGGCGTGTGCTACCACTGCCTAACCTCTATGTTTAATATTGTGGCTGTTCTGTCTCTGACCCCAGATAAGTTTATTAGCGTGCACAGTATTTTGGGGACTACAATACCACCACAAGGAGGCTGGAATGTAGCTTGGGAAGAGCATGTGCTCACACGCACAGACCCTGTGTCTGATGCCCAGTGTTGAGAGGCACACTGAAAGGCCAGCAAGAAGCCACAGGTGGTAGCATTAGAGAAGAAAACACTGGATGCTCCCTGAATCTCCATGTTGAAGGCCAGAAGACACCAGAGGGCCATCTTGGAATCAGAACTGTCCCAGAGAGTTGCAGGCAGGAAGCCCTGTGTCTTACCTCTGCAGACCTCCTCATCCCTGTTCTTGACCTACCGTGAAGGCCCATGAGTTCCTGGGGGAAGTGTCTCCCTTCTAGATCTCCATGTGTGTCTGACTTGAGTGGCCAGCCTTCCCACTCAGCAGTCTAGGATTTGAATATTTTGCAATGGGTGTGTACTGAATAGGCAACTTTCTGCTAATAAGATTTAAAAATAGATATTTAAAATGTTTCCAAGGTCCAAACAAAAATTTACACTCTTGTTGCGTATATTTTAAATGGGGCCTTGTGATCTCTGGTGCTTCAGCTACCACGTACACTGTGATTATTTGGAGGAAAAGTCATTTTAATGTTTCTACTCGACAGAGAGTCCCTCTATAGTGGCTGGGAAGCTTGGTGACCCTCCTAGTGATCACGCTCAGTGCAAGGCTGTGACCCTACATTGTACTCAGTATATCCCTTGTGACTTAGTTTGAGGGAACAGAACAGGAGCTTGAAGGATGAGTGTGGAAGCCATAAGCATAAATCATACATTTTCCTCAGTGCTGCCATGTATTATAGTGGCTGATAATAAATATAATATGTAATGTAATGTATTACCTATATAACAAGAATACAATTTTTGACCCAGTTATACACAAAAGGTTTACACTGTTGCCTATTTCTTGTCATACTTTAAAAATGAAATCACGTTGCCTTTTCCTCTTTCTTTTTGAAGGGAATATAATAAGAGTCACTGGATCCCTCCTTTTAGGGTAAGTGTCAGTGAACAGTTAATGGCTTCATGATGCTACTGTTGGAAATCTTAGCAGAAGTGACTTGTAGATGGCATGTCAGAAGGTTGAACATGCCTTTGTAGAGGAACATATGTGTACGTATTTATAAGACGTGTAGGGGCATTGCATGTAGTACATTCACACTAAGAGTGCCCTAAGTGTCCATTTGCAGGGGAGTGGGTAAATAAGTTGTGGTAAGTGTGTTTACGTCATGAGGGAACAGTATGTACAGACGACAGTGTGGGTGAGTCACACAAACACAGTCTGAACAGAAGAACACATCTAGCCCGAGTCCGTTCACACGAAGCTCAAAATCAGGCCAAACAGAACACTGTTGTTTAAGGATGTACACACAAGTGGCAGACACATGATGCAAAGCGATGACATGATTACTGCTACCGATCAGCCGTGAAAGAATGAGAGAGAACGCACTGTGGACTTTGGGGCACCGCTAACCTTCTATTTCTTCCTTGGATATAATCATGCAGCTATTTGCTGTTATTTTAAACTGAGATGAATGTGTACACATATGTCCCTGTGTGTGCATATACATGTAAAATGACACTTGTGTGCTACTGTATGCTGTGTTTCCTAGTAAAATAGAAAACAGTTCACTGTGAAAAGCTCTTGAGTCATATTTAGATCCCAATTTATGATGTTTTTTTGTTTCTTTTTAGGGGCTCTTTATTTCTTACATATGAAGTTCTGGCCCTGAAAAAGTCTTTAACGTTAGACACTCAGGTGGTGGAAAGAGAAAAAATGAAGTCTTACATCTATGTGCACACCGTTCCCATGGACAAGGCAGAAAATCGTGGTAAGATACCTCCATCCTTCTAAAAGGGAAGCTAGCTATTACATGTGGAAGTGGGTCTGTTTAGAGAACCGTGCTGACAGGGTAAGCTCAGCCTTCTGGAAGAGTCAGCAGAGCCAGGCTCCTGAGTGTCTTAGTCACTGTTCTGTTGTGGTGAGAAGAGGCTGTGGCCAAGACAGCGCTTATACAAGGAAGCATTTGACTGGGGGCTTACAATTTCAGATCATCCTGGCAGGGAGCCGAGAGCTACATCCTGATCCAGAGACAGGTGGAGAGACTGGGCCTGGCATGGGCTTTTGAAACCTTAAAGACCACCCCCAGTGACACACTGCCTCCAACAAGGCCACACTTCCTAATCCTTTCCAATAGTTCCATACCCTGGTGACTAAGCATTCAAATACATGAGCCTATGGGGACCACTGTTATTCAAGCCACCACACCAAGCATTAACTAATGGCCAGATTTGGGGCTTCTGTGTTTCCCCAGGTCTTCAGCTCCTTTAGAACAAAGTAAGAACTGGCTAAAGCCCTTGTGTCTGACCCCGAGTTCCTTCTTCATTGAGGGTCATCAGTTCAGTTTGGCAAGTACAAATGTTTGTTTTGTCAATTAGCTCAGAGTCCATCATGCTGTAGGGGTTAACTCATGCAGTCGAACTCATGAAACACATTGAGAGATAAGAATTCACCGTATTTATTGCTGCCATCTGTCACAAAGACTGAGTGGTCTGTCCATGCTGGTTAGGACATCCCCTTCTCAAGGTAGAGGTTGCTTGCAGGCCTCTTGGTTACTTGATAGATGTGGTAGTTTAGCTCAGAAGAGAGTCTTTCCCTTAGCTCTGGGCAGCCTGGTGAGCCCCCACCCTACCCTGCCTTGCCTGTCTGTCCTAAGATGTCAGCCCTCACGTGCCTGCATGGGATGGGCTCCTCTGCTCCTTCTGAACTCTGTATTAGCACCACCCCATCTTTATTGCATCACCTCCCCGGACTTCAGCATCCATTAGGGCTGCTTACAGTTTCAATGTGGAGACTGTTACCACCTCTTATAATTTACCTGTCTGGTGAGGCTCAGCCTCACTCTTAAGGCATTTCCAAGTTCAGTTCTAGGTTAGCTATTTACAAGGAACATTCTTGTGAGTATTAGTCAGCTTCCGTTATTCAGGAGGAATAACTATAGTTACTGTTCTCATTTTCTCCTTGACCTTTTCCTGGAGTCCAGGCCATTCTGTGTTCCCATAATAAATACTTGCGTTTTCAGTGACAATAAGAGGTCAAAGGTGGGTTGTTTGTTGTTTTTTTTTTTTTTTTTTTTATGTTCTTTGCTATTAACTTTGGAGCCTGGTGTATGTGTTTCTTTTTGAGGTATTGGAGCGCGATATTAAAAGTGCACACTTGGTCTTACTTGCTGCCATCATTTTAGGGCTTGTTTGGCAGGCAAGAAAAGAACTTCACAAAGCAGTAAGGAAAGTGTTGACAGCATCAGCCAGGGTACTGCGGAGCCCATTTGCTGGTACGTGTAGACACGTGAGTCCTCATCACTGGTCTGGAGGTCGTGTGGACCAGCCACCCTAAGACTAAAAAACATTCTTAGGCTCATATTTTATTAACTATAGGAATCTGGCTGAGGGACATCCTCTTGGCTGTATTTAATTTTACAGCTAAGGGCTTTGAACAGTTTTCCATTTTTGTGTCTAATTATATTAAGATAGTTGTAAGCAACTGCTAAGAATGAATATTCTTTTACAAAATATTCAGAATTTAAAATGTGTAAGAAAATCACTCCATGCTTTCTCATACTGAAACTATTGCATCAACAATGTGAATTTTATTTTTATAATCAATCAAATCTCCAATTTGGAGTTAGCTCGAAAATGCTGTCCTGGCTGGGCATGGTAGTGCACGCCTTTAATCTCAGCACTTGGGAGGCAGAGGCAGGTGAATCTCTGTGAGTTCGAGGCCAGCCAGGGCTACACAGAGAAACCCTGACTCAAAAAAATCAAAAACATAAAACTAAAACTAAAATGCTTTACATCCCAATCTCTTTACAAAGTTGATATCATGAAGAGTAGACAGGAGGATTTTCTAGAATTAAGAAAGACTAAAGAGATCTTATCAAATCCCCTATAAAACTGTTTTACAGTAACATTTGTATGTGGAGTTTGCCTGGATTTTAGACTTTCGTGAGTGCTCCTGGATGTGATGATAACGTCATGATTATAAGAAAGAAATAAATTGGTTTTTTGTTTTTTTTTTGAGACAGGGTCTTTCTACCTAGCCCTGGCTGTCCTGGAACTCACTCTATAGACCAGGCTGGTCTCAGACTCAGTTCTGCCTGCTCCTGCCTCCCAAATGCTGGAGTTACAGGCATGTGCCACCACATGCAGCAATAAATTTGTTCTTAGGAGATGCAGGTTGGACCTGAGAGGGTAGGAAGTCATTGTGTCTGCAGAGGTAGTTTACACACGTGCAGATGATTCATGTGGCGGAATGACAGTTGCTGGTGCAAACTTGAGAGGCATGTGGGTGACAGTGAAAACGTATGCTTTCAGTTTTTTCTACATTGAGTCTACTTCAAACTAATGTTTTTAGTGGAAGAGAGAAAAAAATGACCACATAATGAAAGATAGCATACAGTATTAAAAGTACACATGTAACACATATAAAAAATAATACGACAGCTAAGATCAAACGTTTGGTCATCATCTGTATCTGCGTTTAACGCTCCATTGCAGTTTCTAACTAGTTACAGGTTACCATCTATATAACAGTGCATATAAAAACATTTTGGAGCTGGGAAGATGGCTCAGTCAGTACAGTGTTGCCCTTCATGTGTGAGACTCCTAACCCAGAACCTCCATAAAGAGCCGGTGATTGGAGCCCACCCTGTGGTCTCAGCACTTGGGAGTCAGAGACAGGAGGCTGTATGGGGCTTAGTGGCCAGACAGCCCAGGGGGATTGGCCAGCTGCTTCAATGAGAGTTTGATTCAGAAATGTGCAACATGCATACTCCATAGATGTCCAGATGTTGTCGCAAGTGTTCATGTTGCCGTGTCTTGTGTGTGTCTGTCATGTTCTTTTGGCAAAGACTCTTTCAGCACAGTTGACATAGAAGACCCATGACTGTGCCGTGTGGCTGCTCCTGAGGAAGAGCCAGGAGGACGATAAGGCTGCCCGACTGAAGGCTGTGCAGGAGATGTCAGAGGCCCACTACTGGCACAGTAAGGAGGCCCGTGGGTTAACCACCTCTGTTCTGCTGTAAGAGAGAAGGGAGTGAGGTTATGGGAAGGAAGAGTCAGGCAGTCTGAATACGGGAACACACACTCTCTCTCAAACATTGAGAAAACTCCATGCTAAACTGGAAAGCGAAGTGTGTTTGGTAAGGGCAACTCCCAAATTGGGTATGTTCTACCAGAAAAAGATATACTATTTCACTGAGAGAAACTCCTGATTCTGAGTTACCAGTTTTCACATTTGAACTTCAGATTTTTAAAGAAGTTACTCAGAGCATGACCTGGAGTGTTGAGGAGAATTGTGTGGTTGGTGGTAACTGAGCCACATTGGAAGTTGAGCTTCCCGGGTGTGTGGTTGGTGGTAACTGTGAGTCACGTTGGATGTTGAGCTCCCAGGTGCTGTAGGTGCAACTGAGTTGTGAAAAATACTTGGGAAATTTGGAGTTTCAAAGTTTTAGAACAGTTTAAGAATTGGGGTGATGCCGGGCGGTGGTGGCGCACGCCTTTAATCCCAGCACTTGGGAGGCAGAGCCAGGCGGATCTCTGTGAGTTCGAGGCCAGCCTGGGCTACCAAGTGAGTTCCAGGAAAGGCACAAAGCTACACAGAGAAACCCTGTCTCAAAAAACCAAAAAAAAAAAAAAAAAAAAGAATTGGGGTGCTTTCAAGTAGTTTTTTTTTTTTTTATTTACTCTTGTGATGAGTCTGAGTTAATCTTGATGTTAACAAAAACTGTATTTTCACAACAGACTACCAGTACAGGATAATTGCTCAAGCCTGCGACCCAAGGACCCTTATTGGTTTGGCACGAAGCAAAGAAAGTGATCTTCGCTTTTTTCTCCCACCTCCTCCTCTGCCATCTTTAAAAGAAGTAAGCCAGCATGGGATCTAGGGAGTGGGAAGGGTTAATGTGTGGGTGCAAAGAAATAAGCATGGGGAACTGGATGGAAAGCTGAAATCTTCGTTTCCACAGGTGTATGACCCTCACAAGGGGCTCTTCCGCTGCCATTTTCTGCCTTTGTGAGTTGAGAGAGTCTGTTCTGTTAGTCAACTCCATAGCATGTCAGTACCCAAGAGAGGGTGCCTTGTAGTAACTTTTTTTGTTGCTGTCTTGTTTTTGATTTTTCAAGACAGGGTTTCTCTGTGTTGAACTGGCTGTCCTGGAACTCACTTTGTAGACCAGGCCACCTGCCTCTGCCTCCTGAGTGCTGGGATTGTTTTGTTTTAAGATTTATTTTTAGTTATGTCTGTGTACCTAGATGTGGGTATGGGCATGTGAGTACCAGTGTGGAGGGAGGTTGGAAGAGGGCAACAGATCCCCAAGAGCTGGAGTGACAGGTGGTTGTGAGCCACCAGACATGAGTGCTGGGAACCAAACTTGGGTCCTCTGCAAAGGGCATGCTCTTAACTGCCAAGTCATCTCTGCAGCCCACCTTGTTGTTTATAGATGAGATTTTTCTCATCCTGAGCACTCCTGACATCTTAGATCAAATACTTTTTTACTGGAGGAGGCTGTTTTGTGTACCACAGGATACTTAGCAGCATTGCTGGACTCTGCTCCTAAGATGCAAGGAGCCCCCCAAGTTGTAACAAAGAAAGTTGTCTCCAGACATTGCTAAATATGTCCTGAGGGTTAAAGTACCCCAGGGGAGACCCATGGCCAGAAGCACGTTGAACTAACTGCAGGTGTCTCGGGCACCTTCCTTAGATGAGAAAGCAACACTAAAACTTTGATGTAAACGATCACCTGAAAAACAGAAAAGTGAACACATAGACCATTAATTATCATGAGAAATGAAATGTTAACAGACTCCAGGCTTAGTGATACCTTTAATTATTAAGGGTATAGTTCATTTTGAGTCAAGATATCAAGAAGTTCCTAAGGTAAAAGTTGAGTTATAATTCCAACAGTCCTTTTTTTTGTTTGTTTATTTTTAAGATTTTATTTTGTATGTATGTGTGGGGCCTGCATGTATGTACGTACACTACATGCATGCTAGGTGTCCACAGAGGCCAGAAGAGGGCATCCAGTCTCCTGAACGGAGTTACAGGTGGTTGTGAGCCATCATGTAGGTGCTGGAACCAAACCCATATCCTCTGCAAAAGTGGCTGTGCTCTTAATTATTGAGCCATCTTTCCAGCCCTTGTAATAGGTCTTTAAATGTGACAGCAGCCATGGCAGCGTAGAACCACAGACAAATGATTGTGCACCTCCACTTCTGTGGCTGCGTACTTTCCAGATCATGACCACTGTTCATCCTGCGTACTTAACGTGTATGTGTGTCTTGCTCTGACTCTTCGGGTGTTCTTTTATGACACTCAGTTGTTGGGTTTGTGTCTGAAGACTGTCTTTGCTTTTTATTTCAGGATTCCTCCACTGAAGAGGAGCTCAGGCATTTGCTGGCTTCTTTACCTCAGACAGAGCTCGATGAGTGTCTCCAGTATTTTACATCCTTGGCTCTCAGTGAAACCAGCCAGAGCCTGGCTGCACAGAAGGTTTGCTTATGTCTTATTCAGCAAATGGTTTGAGCGCTCGCTGTTTTCCAAGACACTGTGCTGGGCCAGCATTTAGAACCTCAGTTGTTAGCCCGGTTATGGACTCTACTGTGCACTGGGCTGCGTGGTGTCCGGAATCAGCAAAAGATAACCATAGACATGGATAAGAAAGATTCGGGTTCCAGGAGTCCTCAGCTCAGCTTCTGAGCTCATTTATTGTTTTGTAGGAGCAAACTCTGGTATTGCACCTTTAGAATCAACAGTCAGGATTGGGTCCAGCTCAGTGATAGAGTGCTTGCCAAGCATGCTCTAGACTTGGGTTCAATCCTCAGCGCTTGAGTTGAAGCATCTAGGCCTGTGTTCTAACCTGAACTCTAGATTTGAGAATCCAGCCTCCTCTCCTTGGAGTATAGCAAGACTCTGGAATTTAGCGGATCAAGCCTGCCTTCCCTTGATATAGCCCTCACCCTCTGGTCTTGGTCTGTTTGCTTAAGTTGCAGCCTGGCGGTCCTGCTCAGTCCTTCACGTGTACAGCCGCCAACAGCTGCAGGCCGTTGCTGTGGGGCACACATTGAGTCTGTCCCCCGACTTTCTACAGCCTCCTGTTCTTACACATCTCCTCTACCACGTTGGCTTTTGTTTCGTCTTTCACTTCCTCAGTGGTTTTCAAATCTTCCAGATTTTAGGGTGTTGGTTCCCGTTTGTGCTGGCGTTGGCTCTCCTTTGGGATTGTGTCTTTCCTTGGTTGTGCCTGTGGACTCCAGGTTCACTCTCAGATGAACGGGACTGTTTTCTAGCGAGTTCCAAGGACCATGAATGATAGATTTGTCCTCACAGAGCAGGGTTTTTTCTTTTTTTCTCTCCTTGATTCATCTCTTGGTGTTTTCCCACTTGAAGGAAGGAATTCTGTGGAGGGACACATAAAATGTAAGCAAAAAATCAGTAAGCAGAGACAGACAGGCAGAGACAGAGATAGAAAGACACACAGACACAAAATCTGTGTGTGGCAGGAGTGGGCAGAGGCAGCAGAGCGCGGTGGTCTGAGACGGCAGAGCGCGGTGGGCAGAGACAGAGCAGAGCGCGGTGGGCAGAGACGGCAGAGCAGAGTGCGGTGGGCAGAGACAGAGCAGAGCGCGGTGGGCAGAGACGGCAGAGCGTGGTGGGCAGAGACAGAGCAGAGTGCGGTGGGCAGAGACGGCAGAGCAGAGCTTGGTGGACAGAGACGGCAGAGCGCGGTGGACAGAGACGGCAGAGCGCGGTGGGCAGAGACGGCAGAGCAGAGTGCGGTGGGCAGAGACGGCAGAGCGCGGTGGACAGAGACGGCAGAGCGCGGTGGGCAGAGACGGCAGAGCAGAGTGCGGTGGGCAGAGACAGAGCAGAGCGCGGTGGGCAGAGACGGCAGAGCAGAGTGCGGTGGGCAGAGACGGCAGAGCGCGGTGGGCAGAGACGGCAGAGCAGAGTGCGGTGGGCAGAGACAGAGCAGAGCGCGGTGGGCAGAGACGGCAGAGCAGAGTGCGGTGGGCAGAGGCGGCAGAGCAGAGCTTGGTGGGCAGAGGCGGCAGAGCGCGGTGGGCAGAGACAGAGCAGAGTGCGGTGGGCAGAGACGGCAGAGCAGAGTGCGGTGGGCAGAGACAGAGCAGAGCGCGGTGGGCAGAGACGGCAGAGCAGAGTGCGGTGGGCAGAGGCGGCAGAGCGCGGTGGGCAGAGGCGGCAGAGCAGAGCTTGGTGGGCAGAGGCGGCAGAGCGCGGTGGGCAGAGACAGCTCTGTGTTGTGGATTTTAAAGAAATTTTTATGATTCATAAGGTTGGGGGCATATTCATGGGGTAAGGTGACCTTTCCCCCTTCTGCATCATGGTGGATAAGATCTCCCTTTTATGGAATTTATTCCCATGATCCTCTGGAAAAGCCTACAAAGAGGAGGGATGCAGACCCTTTGTTAGTGCACGTGTGGGAAAATGCCCTGGTGCCTTAGTTTTTGATATTTCAGGAACAGCCTGTCTGTAACTTCAAGAACATTTAACTGCAAATGGGCTCTCTGAACATCAGGAGCACAGCTGCCGTGAACAGCTGCCGTCGCTTGGCTGTCGCATATCCAGCTCCCTTTGACACTGCTCAAGGACCATGATGGATCTGATAGTTGAAGCGTTAATCTAATTAATCTTATCAAAAAATCAGGAATCAAATATCGGGGTTAAAACCTGAAAGCTCAGAGAAGCAGGGGAGCAGCCACTGTCTCTTCTTACCTCTTCCGTTCCTTCGACCAGAAGGGCCAAGAGCCTCTATCTGCCCAATCTTTCGACTTCCTGTCTCCAGTCCTCCAAACCACTCTGGTTAATTTAGGTCAGCTCGTGGCTGGCCCCGCCCTCTGATTCCAGACAAGCTTTGTTTGTCAGAACACAATCGAAACATCACAGAACAGACCGTCTGTTGGTTAAGACCTTTTGTTAGTTTTGAGGTTTCATACTGTAGGCTGGGCCAGTGTTTTCCGGGAAGAAGAATGCAGGATGGAGGCTGGCTGTAGGATTCTCGTCTCCCAGCTCCCCCACTCCAGTCTGTCTTCTACATCACACTTGATGGCAGTTTTTCCCATGCCCTCTTAGGACGTTTCAAGTCCTTGCTTTGGGTGGAGATCTCAGATGTAGCCGCACAAGAAAGCCCCGAGAAGGCATCTTCTCCACTGAACACAGTTGAGGTCCTACACTCGATATTCTCAGCCCTGCTCATCTCCCAGGCTTTTCCTTCTGTCTCCAGTTCTAGCCCCCAGGATTTCTCTTGATTTCTTTTTTTCCCTGAGAGCTTGCCCGTGTCTAACAGCATTTGGAACAATTTGTGCGTTTCCCTGGATGCCCGAGCTTCAGCTCGTCTCCCTCAGTGTAGCCACGTGATCTTACAGACCTGAGTGAGAGCTGCTCTTGTCCCTGCCTAAAACCGTCCAAAGGCTTCCTGCTCTATGGTGAGCCAAGCCCCGTATGTTTCTTGTTGAAGGCATGCATAGACTCCTTATCAACATGGCTGCCTTCAGGTTGGAACCAAGGGTGGCAGGAGCGTCCAGTGGACAGTTGTGGGATGTAAAGCCTGTTCAGTGGCAAAGGATGTGGAAGCTGATAGAAGCAGGTCAGAGGGCAAAGCTGGGTGTGGTCTCATCAGGATGCTGTCTCATCAGAGTACATGATTCTGCTATCAGCACCACTCTGGATACCGTTCATAAGACTTAGTATCTGGTAGTGCTTGCCACTCTTCATTTTATAATTTAGTGCGCACGCATGCGTGTGTGTGTGTGTGTGTGTGTGTGTGTGTGTGTGTGTGTGTGTGTGTGTGTGTGGACACAGGGGTCAATATCAGGGGTCGTTGGCTATTTCTTTCCACCTTACTTTTTGAGACAGAGTGTCCTGTTGAATCTGAAGCTTGCCAGTTCAGCTGGACTGGCTGGCCAGCAGGCTCCTGGGATCTGGGTGTGCTCTCCCTCCCGTACCCAGAACTGAGGTAACAGATGTGCACCACCTACCTGCTTTTTATGTGGGTGCTGGGGGTCGGAGCTCAGTTCCTCACACTTGTGTTAAAAGACCCCCGTAGGTAGTCTTCCCTCTGGAGAGACCCTCGCCCAGAGATCACACCGAGACCACAAGTCAGATGCAAACAGCAAGAGGCTTTATTCAGGAACACGGGTACCCGGGGCGATACAGTCCCTCCAGAGGCTGAAGAGACTGGCGCGCCGACGGGCTGGAGTGGAGGGTTTTTATAGGGTTGGGCAGCGGAAGGGCGGGTACAGAAGCAGGAAGCATAGTTTACAGGGTTCTGATTGGACGATTCGTATGAGGCCAGGCTCAAACTCAGGACAGCTTGTGGTTTTTCCCCGAGCTCGACACGCCTGCTGACTTGGCTCTTATCCAGGGTACAAGTTGTTTTTCTGACCTTTAGTTACTTTTCAGGCCTTGCTCAAAAATGGCGTTAGGCTAAGCAAGTATGCTGGGGCCCTTCATTCCCCCATTTTCTTATCTCAGGGAATGGAATCCTCCATTCATGGGGAAGAATAGGGATGTGACTCCATTTCCACCTGGTTGAGTCGTTGGTATTGTTGGGTCAATACCAAGGTCTGAATAGTAGAAACACGTTCCCTGATAAATTGGACAAGTCTGTTTAGGATACAGGGCCCGAGCGTCAGAAGGAGCAATAAAATCAGAAGGGGTCCCATAAGGGTGGAGATGAGGGTGGTGAGCCAGGGGGACCTTCTGAACCATCCTTCAAACCATCCCTGCTGTTCTTCAAAGAGTTTTTGTCTTTGTTCTAATCTTTTTCTTAATCTAGCCATGCTATCTCTCACCACCCCAGTATGATCCGCATAGAAGCAACATTCTTCTTTAAGGGCGGCACATAACCCCCCCTCCTGCAGGAAGAGGAGGTCTAATCCCCTCCGGTTCTGCAGAACTACTTCAGACAGGGAGGTGAGTGACTTTTCCAAGGCACTCACGGATTCCTCCAGTGCCTGGATATCGGTATGCATGGCAACCTGGAGTTGTCTGAACTGGTTGGTTTCCATGAGGGCAGTGGTACCTGTGCCTATTCCGGCGGCGACTCCTCCCATAGTTAATCCACCTAGTATCAGGGCCAGGGTTAGCGAGACTGGCTCTCTTTTTATACGGGGGACCCCTGTTTCATATCGGGCATATATATCTTCAGGTGCATGGTAGACTATCTTGGGGTACAGTTCTATGAGCACACAATAATCGGCCGTGTTGGCTAGTATTGAGGAGGAGAGGCATGGTGTAAGTCCAGTGCTACAGGCCCAATAAGTCCCGTTCGGAGCCACGAGATAGTGGGGTCCTGGAACAAGTGCCTGGGTGCGATTACACAGGTGTTGGTGGGTGTAGGGTACTATCCCCAGACATAGTCCTTGTCCTGACACCTCGGAGATTGTGAGCTTATGCTGAGGTGTCGAGGCACATCCTGACGGGGGTGAAGAAGAATTGGTGAAGCTTCCGACTACGGCCACCCCCTCATA